CGTGGATTCTAATTTCTAATAGGCAGCTCACGTTGAACTCGATGGTTTAAGAAAAATCAACCAAGGACTGGCTGTGCGATCAACCACAAATTTTGTATATTTTAGTCGTTTGCCAGACATAAATTAAGTTAAGATTTGTTATTGTTCTGTGTTCACCTGCTCAGAGACTACATATCGATGCCTAAAGTGCGAGACCGCATATATCTGTTTGCGAGATTCTAGACTCTCAGTCATAGGTACATTATTTTTTTCTTGTAAACTTATAGTCAACGTAATTTTAACAAAACTTCTTTAATTTTTTTCTCTGTTGTTTGGATATTCTGTATGGATATCAAGCTATGAAGCTGACTTGTTCCTCCTTAAAAAAATAAATTATAAGCGAAGACACCGCGATGGAGATACGTGCTGTCACACTTTAGCCGTCGATATGATATGCCTCGATATTTCAGAGATAAGTGCATCACGTCCGGTAATGGGGGCGGAGGGCTGATCTGATGGAGGACCCGTCTGGTAGATTTTTTGTGAAGCGAAAAATTCGATCAAAATACTACACCATGAGAAAATAAAGAGAAAATGTCATAATCTACGATTTAATACGCTTTTGCTGATTTATTTAATATGGTATCGCCGTCGAGAGGGAAGTGCGTCTACAGTTTCTCTTGCACATTTCTTGGGCCATGAAATAGTCTCAGTGGTACTATTAACGCCAAAATTGTGTGTATTTGATCACTGTGCGATTAGGGATTGTTCAGAAAATACGTAACGCTGAACTCGGAGTTTCCGAACCTCCCCCTCCCCGCTTACCTAGCTTTAGTGACGTGGGCCCCAATCCTTTAAGATGTAAAAACAAAATTGTCTAACGCTCTCCTCACTGCTGTCATAGCGTAGAGAGCAGTGAGGGTCAAATTTTCGAAATCAAGGCTCCTTAAAAATTCGTCTAATCCATTTTAGATGAAATCACAGAAATAGCTAAAATAGCAAAATTCATCTTACTCTCATGGAAACGAGACATATGAGAAAGCCGCAAGTGCGCAAAAAATGACGTAGTTTCAGGCAAGGTAGCAGTTCTGCCGTGATAGCGAAGAGAGCCGTAAGTGCAACATTTTCGAAATCGAGTTTCCTTCAAAATTCGTCTAAATTCTTTTAGATGAAATTACTGAGACAGCTAAAACAGCAAAATTCATCCTAATTTAATGAAAACGAGACGTATGTAAAAGCCGTAAGTGCACAAAAAATGACACAGTTTTTTTTCAAGACAGCCGTAGATGCATGAGAGCCAATGAGAACAGTGCTTTCCAGTAAAGTGCCGCCCTCTTCTGCCAATTTCTAACCTGAAAATGTGTTTGTTGTGCGTCCAAAACGCAACCACGAAAGCATGCAGAAGATAGCACTTACGGCTGTCTTGCCTAACAATAACCTAGCATGAAAATGAAAAATACCCTTTTTATGTAATGGAAATTAAATCAGTCGATTTTCAATCATCCAAACGATCTCTAGGAATCTTTCGGACGGTTCGTGATAATTTGAGAAAAAACGGAGGCTTCTGTAATAAAATTTTCCGGTAACATGCCTCCGAGCCCGTTTTACCAAAACTTCATTTTGGCACTTACTGCCCTCTTTGCTGTCAACGGCCCATCACGTTGACACACATTAATCACCGCACCTGTGGGTACTGAAAAGCAATATCGTGATCTATTAACTCAAAGGCTCCAATGAATCATCATTTTCGGAAGTGGCTGAAATCTCGGGGATGGTACTTAATATATTAAAGGTAGTAGTACTATTATTGTGGGTATAATTAGGCCGGGGAAATAACCCGAAAATGACGCGAGGTAACAGTGACAAGGAGCGTATTGAGAAAGGTGATTAAGTGATGGAGGTGTAAGGTTTTATTCCTCCGTGCACTTCATTGTAAAAGAAAACTTTTAATTTCTGTGTTCGCAACGAAAGTTTTGTTTCACATGTATGTGAATCTACAAGTCGGGAGAAAGAAGAAACGCAAACCTACCGGTATCTTTTCTAAAACAAGA